ACTGCAATGCTGTAAGCCACATGGCTATCTGTGGGTTTGGATTCCAGGTCAGCCTGAAAACAAGATCCTGACAAACTGGAGAGAGGGAGAAAAGGAACTGTGGTATGATGAGACCTCATGTGGTACTTCTCTTTCTCTCAAACACACAGATGCTTTCTATCATGAAAAGGTTAAAAAAAAAATTTAACCTTGGAGGACCAAGAGATGGTGTAATGGTTGCATTGCTGTACTTCCACGTAGTCTAGTGCAATTCGAGTCCCAGACCCGGTGGTTTAAACTCGTACCGAGCTTGTGTGAATATGTACCCAAGATCCCAAGAGGAGAACGGAGGAGAAGGGACTGCAATATGGCCATTCCCCTGGAGAGTGATTTCTCACTTTCTGCCTCTCTGTGTCTTTCCAGTGAGCACACGTACACTATACCAAAAGTCTCTCTTAAAAAACAAAACAAAACAAAACCATAATACAACTCAGAAATTATTTTATAGTCCCTACTCACAATCCTATTTACTTTTCATAGAATTCCTCAAATTCCTTCCTTCTGCACATTCCTCTAACTCTTGAGACTTAATCTTGTAGTTATTTTTTATAGTTTACTATTTATTCCATAAGAGACAGAGAGAGAGAGTGAGAGGTGCCCCTAACAAAGTCACACTGCAATCTACCAGAGCCTCAGCCAGCCTGGATCATGGCATGGTGTGCACGCATCCACCTTATCGGGAGGTCCCTGGATACACCTATAGACCCTCCCATATGAATCCAGTTGTGTTACCACTACATCACCATCTGACACTTCAGTCTCTCACTTAAAGAGAAAACAGAGCCTATGCTACTGGACTTCTTTCAAATTCTTTCTTCTCTTGAAACAAATTTCTATACTTACATGTTGCATATCTCTTCCTTTGAAAATTTCCTTTCTTTTGAAAGAAATGAATTTGTCTATAAACTTTCCTCTAATTACTACTTTTGTTGCAACACTCAAGTTTTAGAGTGATTTGTTCTTATTCATTTCTAAATTTTTTCTGCTTCCCATTTTGATTTTTTTCCTCTCTAGTCCATGAGCTGCTTAGGACTATATTTTTTAGTTACCAAAAGTTATTTTACTGCTCTTTTATTAACAACTTAAAAGTTATTTGCACTGTAGACAAATAATGTAGCCTTCTTCTGGTGAGTTTTATGCATAGTATTTTCAAACTATGTTTCATAAACATTCCCTAAATGATTTCATTTATTAAAATTGCTCTATCCGATGCCTCTATCTGGATGACTACATTAATATGTATCTCTAGTACACCCTTTTCTTCTGAGCTTCAGGCCCACAGTGTTTATATACTTTTGGACTAATTTTCTGTGTGTCCCACAGGCATTTCAGCATTAGGAGATTCAAAATCAAACCTTATTTCTAAACACCTTTTTCTGCTCCTCTTTTATTCTCTATTTTAGAATGGTGTTACACATTCTATCCAACTGTTCAAGCAAGAAATATTAAAATAATTTTTCATTCCTCATACAGCTGGAATGAACTGAGCTGAAAAGTTCAACTGGTGTGAATTATTGCACACTTCCTAACTTTCTCCTGAAGACATCTTTTCCTTTCTATTGTCCTAGGATCTCATCATTACTCTCCCCCCTCCCCTGAACCATCCTTCTAAACAGCTTTTAGTTAGCCTTCTGGTCACTTCTCTGTCTTTCTCTTCTTCCTTTCCCCTGCTATCAGAAATATGTCTAAACAAAAGCCTCATCAATTCTGTTTCCTTGCTTAGAAATCTTTGGTCAATGCCTATGGGATGAACTCTAATTTAGTACAAACACATACAACTTTTTCCTGAGTAAATTCATCCATGTGCAAGTGAATGACTGCAAACTTGGTTTACTATTAAATATACTATTTTAAATTTTTGGACCACAATGCTATTAAAAGCCTATTGTTGAGAAAGATTGGGATAAAAATTTTCCTTCATATGTCATTGCCTACATATATTTTTTTAGGATCAAGAAGGTATGATCTTTGAAAATTAGGCCCCATTTCCCAAAACAATCTTGTGCTAATTTTTGGAAGAGTATAGGTTTCATTTTTAGCTCTATGATAATAGTTAAAGCAAGTGAAGAGGAAAATTTAGTACATTCAGACAGGGCTCAGGAGCTTGTATTAGTAACATGGAAATCAAATACAATGAGACAGAATGAGACAATGTTTTGAATGTTGATAAAAAAATTATAAAAATTCCAAAGGAAATAGAGAAAAAAGGAACATTTTTGGAAGACCAACTAGTAAGTATAATATGATTCATGCTTCCTTTAACCAATATTTACGAGAAGAAGAAAATGATCCCAAACTATATAGATAGCAAGGAGAAAAACATAGCCCTTCCTAGGGCATTGATTATCTGTAACTGCAGGAAAAGAGCACAATTTACATTCATAATAATCATTAAAGATAATGAAAGTTGGGACCAGCAGTTGGCGTAATGGCTATGTCGCTGGACTCCCATGTAGTCATCTGTGGTTCGAGTCCTGGGTCCGGTGGCCTAAACAGGCACCGGGCACATGTGTGTGCATGCCCAAGATCCTGAGAAGAGAATGGAGGAGAAGGGATTGTGGCATGGCCATCCCCCCCTGGGGAGTGATTTCTCGCTTTCTGTCTGTCTGTCTTTCTGTCTCTCTCTCTGTCTTTCTGGCAAGTGCAAGTGCCCTATAGCAAAAACCTCTCCCCTCTCCAAAAAAAAAAGATAATGAAAGTTAACACAGATTCTGTATCTTCAGTGTGAAAAGACAGGTAAATACTAATCATTCAAAGAATGTTTTAATTATAAAGGATTAAAATAAAAGTGTACTCATATAAAGAAATTAAACTTACATTAATCTAAAGCTTTAGTCAAAATAATTTATTCTTTTCAAAATGATGACATCAATATACACCTATGTTATACTTCCTATTACCTCTCTTTCAATAAAATCAGGGGCAAAGTAGTTTTATATATTTTTAACTATCAATATCTAATGTCTTTTTAAATTAGACAATAAGAAAGAGTAGGCATTTGCTAAAGATACCAGCCAACTCTGAAAAACAGTTGTGGAGTAAAAAAGCAGATCATATAGTTTACAAAGAAAGGGCGAAAGTATCAGTAAGCAATATTCCCAGAAACTTTATCTAGGGGGATAAACTTTATCATATGGGGATTTCATTGCCTTGTCTGATTTATTTGAAGCCAAATTCATTTCTTAGCTTTACTGCTGCATCTATATGCATTTGCATGCATCTGTGCTTCTGAAACTAGAATGAGCTTAGGAAGCTCTATCTCCTTGTAGTGTATCTGTAACTCCTAACATGATTTATAACCACCCAGGAATTTCATCTCAAAAGCTATTTTCTATGGAGACTTTCAGTAAAGAAAGTTGTTCAGTATCAAGCATTAATCCAAAGTCTTACAGAATACATAAACAGGGGGAAACAGCTGGCATAGCAAATACATCACTTGACTTGTACATGGCTGATCATGGTTCAAGTCCCAGCCCCAGAGGCTTGTGTGCATACATACCCAAGATCTCAGGAGAAGAATGGAGGAGAAGGTTTTGTGGCATGGCGACTCCCCTTCAGGGGTGATTTCTCACTTCCTCTCTCACTGTCTCTGTCAAGCGTGCAAGTGCCCTATAGCAAAAACCTCTCCCCTCTCCAAAAAAAAAAGATAATGAAAGTTAACACAGATTCTGTATCTTCAGTGTGAAAAGACAGGTAAATACTAATCATTCAAAGAATGTTTTAATTATAAAGGATTAAAATAAAAGTGTACTCATATAAAGAAATTAAACTTACATTAATCTAAAGCTTTAGTCAAAATAATTTATTCTTTTCAAAATGATGACATCAATATACACCTATGTTATACTTCCTATTACCTCTCTTTCAATAAAATCAGGGGCAAAGTAGTTTTATATATTTTTAACTATCAATATCTAATGTCTTTTTAAATTAGACAATAAGAAAGAGTAGGCATTTGCTAAAGATACCAGCCAACTCTGAAAAACAGTTGTGGAGTAAAAAAGCAGATCATATAGTTTACAAAGAAAGGGCGAAAGTATCAGTAAGCAATATTCCCAGAAACTTTATCTAGGGGGATAAACTTTATCATATGGGGATTTCATTGCCTTGTCTGATTTATTTGAAGCCAAATTCATTTCTTAGCTTTACTGCTGCATCTATATGCATTTGCATGCATCTGTGCTTCTGAAACTAGAATGAGCTTAGGAAGCTCTATCTCCTTGTAGTGTATCTGTAACTCCTAACATGATTTATAACCACCCAGGAATTTCATCTCAAAAGCTATTTTCTATGGAGACTTTCAGTAAAGAAAGTTGTTCAGTATCAAGCATTAATCCAAAGTCTTACAGAATACATAAACAGGGGGAAACAGCTGGCATAGCAAATACATCACTTGACTTGTACATGGCTGATCATGGTTCAAGTCCCAGCCCCAGAGGCTTGTGTGCATATATACCCAAGATCTCAGGAGAAGAATGGAGGAGAAGGTTTTGTGGCATGGCGACTCCCCTTCAGGGGTGATTTCTCACTTCCTCTCTCACTGTCTCTGTCAAGCACATGTGCCCTATGGCAAAAATCTCTTAAAACAAAAACAAGAATACATAAACAAAGAGATATGTGTACTATAGACTTAATTGTGTTTGCTCTAGAATATGAAATCCAAATGGTATGTGAACATATAAAGAATTGGAGGCATTCTGCATTAACAATTCAGTGGAGTTTATGTCCTAAAATTTAATTTCAAGCCCTGAGCATGTGTTATTAGCAGAACAAATAAATCAGCTGTGATCAAATCATTTTGAGAATGTGGCTAATACCCTGTCATATTTTTTTAGGATCACCATTGCATAAACTTTAAAGATAATTTTTCTTAAGCCTACCATATAAAACCATTTTTTACCAACCCACTTTAATTTCCACTACTTTGTTTCAAATTTATTATCTTTCTACTAATATTTTACCTCTGGTCCTGGAGGGCCAGATGGTCCTTGGAGTCCTGGGTCACCTGGTTGGCCCTAAAATGGGGACAAGGGATCAAAGAATAAACATTAAATTAATAACATTAAAGGAGCAAACAGGCTTATGATAAGCAAACAGCACTCAGCATATTATGTCAAAGTTATAATGACTTGCCAGAGACTGAATTTGTAACCATTACTATAAAAGTTATTTAAATATAATGTTTTCAGATAAAATATATATTTACTCACAAGTGTTAGAAATATAAACATATCAATGAGTTAAATGCACAAATAAAAATCAATCATATGTGTGTTTCCCGGAGATAAAACAATAAAGCTTGACTCAGCAAGGTAAAGAGCTTTAGATGAAGAATTGCTTTTATAAATAACCACAGTTCGACGACTAACTCTGAAAATTCCTCTCCCCTTTGATACTGTAAGGAACCTGACTTAGTAAAATTAAGACTCACCTGTATTCAAATCCTTGTTGCTTAATCTCTCAACTTTAGTTTTCTCATCAATAAAATAAAAATTATGGTGACAGTACTAACATTTTCATGATCATTGTGAGGATTAGCACTATAAAGTGCTAAACATAATGCCCGGCACACAGAAAGCACTTATTAAATGGTAACCAATTTTACAATCATTAATCCTTCCCTTTGCTCCTCTCCTGGCTGATTCCTAGAATTTTTAACACTCAATTTAAAGGACAGATTCTTTAAATGAATTTTTGAAGATTCAGTTTCAACATTTCTGGAGTTAGTTTCTAATATTCAGATTAAAGATCAGAAATCAGGGCTGGCCAGCAGGTGAGAGGAGAGAGACGTGGATATTAAGTCTGAACCTAGAGCGGGCTGGTAATACTCTCAAGAGATGAAAATATATGAATAGAAAAGGGAAGATCAGTATTCTGAAATACCCTTGTTTTCATTAAGAAAACTATTAAATTCATTATTTATGTCATATTAAGTTTATATATTAGTTTCAAATTGAATTTAAATAGGTATTAGATGACATAAAATTGTGAGATACTATATGGAATTACCCATTTTTCAAGAGCAAATGTAGTTTCCCATGTGTACTGAATTCCTTCTTAGTTTAGAGGTATCTTGACATAAGACAGGAAATAATGAAACTACAACAATCAAATCTAGAGATAGATCATGAAATATTATGCAAAGACTCATTTAAGTTCTCTTTTCTAAATAAACAAAAACAAAAAATGTGATCCATCAGAAGCAATATATAATGGAGTCTAAAGTTCTTAAAATGACAAGTACCTTTCTTATGAAAGAGCTAGGGCTCTCACTGGGGCCCTCTAGTGGTACAATTCAACCAAGAAAAATGTACAGGGAGCAAGGGGAAAAAATGGCATACCCTAGGACTTCGTTTTAAAAAAAGTTGATTGAAAACCAGATACTTAAAAACATAAATTATAGAATAATTTTATTCATTCTTCAGAATTCCTAATTTGAAAACCTTAACTGCATGTTTTCTCTGAATGTCAATTTTCCTTTATAAAAACTGAATTAAGTAACTTTTAAAGAACTGAAAAATATTAAGTCTCACTCTGTCAATGACAGAAAATTCTAGTCAAAAAACAGAATTGACATAATAAGTGTCTTTGTTTTTTTTGTTGTTGTTGTTTTAAGGAAAATGTGTTTCTTAACAACTTCTGAATGGCAGTTTTCTCTATTTTTAAAAATACTTGTAAAGCAAAAGCTTCCCAATTACAGAGTGTGAAAACCTTCCAGATCAGGACATTCTTACAGCTTGAATTTTTTCATGTTTTAACTCAGATACATTTGGAAACAATATAAGTAAATTAACATCTTAGATGGCAGCAAACCAAAAGCAGAATATATAAAATAGGAAAGACAGCCTATGACTTTGACATTCTTTCCATGACAGCAAACGAATGCTTTAGGAAGGCACTAACTTGTATAATTGAGTGTGGGAGTTTATTTCTTAATGTGATAACTGATTCTGTATAGGCAACTTTTCATCAAATAGGTGTCTCCTTTCATAACTAGGGTAAGTTTCCAGGTAAACATTTACAATTTTTTAAAAAATTAAAACACAAATGAATAATAAAGAAACACACCAAAGACCAAGCCTAGTATTAGTTCATTAGTCCCATATTCAAAGTATATATTTTTCAAAGTTTAGATAAAACAAAAAAGAAATGATCAATTATCACACTATCAAAGTAATCTCTGTGGACATTTTAAAAACTACATATCAGAATAGTAGAAAAAAGTATAAAAAAGTAAAAATCTCATTCTCACTATATCTTGCTCCCTGTTCTGAAAGAAACTCATTAATATTTCCTGTGATTTCTTTCAGGGGGAAAAAGTATTAAGGATTTTAAGACAATGTGTCTCTGCCTTTTCTGTAGTGTAAACTATAAAAATACTGGTAAGCACAATTACTAAGAGAGAAATATAAGCTATATTTCATAGCTATAAGAAACCTTATAGAGTCATAGAGCTATAAGAAACCTTAAGTGTGATATACTCTGATTTTCATTTTATTAGGTTATTTTAAAGTTTATTTATTTATTTACATGAGCCAGAGAAAGAGGTATCCCCCACAATGTCTCTACTCCAGGATCCAAGATCCCTTGTCTCAGCCAGCCAAGTTCAGGCATATGCACACGAGCCTAGCATGCTCAAGAAGGTTCCAGAAACCAAACCCAGGCCCATGTAGATTCAGCTGTATTACCACTGCACCACTGCCTGGCCTATCACAGAGGCTAGCACGTCAAGTGTAATAGCTGAGACTAGAATCCAGGTCTCTCTCTCAGACCAGTGTTTTTTTACACCCATAAACATGTTACTAACATAAAACAAATCAAAGAGTAAGGAACATTAAGATGGTTTGTCTTATGTAAGTGTGATATTTTACTCTAGCTTTCTCAAAAAATTCATTTTAAAGCATAAGAAAATATATTATCATTTATTAATTAACTGGTCTTGGGGGCCAGCAGGTGGCATGGTGGTAAAGGCACTGGACACTCCAACATGGCTGACCATAGTTCGAGTCCTAGACCTGGAGGCTTGCTTTCTCACTTTCCCTCTTTCTCTCTCTCTCTGTCTCTCTCTGATCAAATTAATATAAATGAATGAATAAATAAAACTAAAGAAATAATTCATTCAAAAAATTAGTACTGGGCTTAGATAATGTGTTCTACCATTTATGCACTTTGGAGTTTCTGAAATACAACTTCAGAGCACAAGTCTGGGTATAATGGCTGACTGGAATAACTTTGATAAATCCAGGGTCACCACCTACTAACTATGAGACCCTGGGAAAATTATTTAACACTCTGTATCTAGCCTGACCTTCTTTGCAGAGCAGGTAGCATTGTAGAGCTGGAAGCCATAGGCCAACTGCAGTTTGAGTCCCCAGTCTAGGAGGTGTGTGCAGGCTTGCCTAGAATTGTGGTGAGCTGGAAAACTGAAGGAAGAGGATCACAGCATGAACAAGTCCTATGGAAGGTGTTTCTCTCTTTTTCCCTCACATGTATGCATGTGCCCTAATATAATTTTTTTAAATGATTAATATAAAAAGCACATTAAAAAACTACTCTGTGCTTCTCTGTGTCTCAATGTCCTTAATTAATAAAATAAAAATACTAGTACCAAATTCATAGGATTGTTGTAAGGATTAAATTAGAAGTATAGTCCTTAGAATGCTGCCTAGCACTTTGTTAACATTCAACATATTTTAGCTAAAATAATTATTATGATTTTTAATATTCAGAGAAATATTTTAATCACGTTTTAATCATTTTATTTAAATGATTTTATTTATTAAATGATTTTGGCTTTATAACATGTTGGGATATTTATTAACTACAAAGTAAAGTATTACTTTCTTTTAACTAATTGATGCCCATGGATTAGACAAATGAAAAATATTTGAATATTAGGGCCACAAGATAATGTGATGTACTCTCTTATCTTTAGAATGTTTCCTTAATGAAACCAATATTTGCAAAAATTAAAATATTATTAAAAATGATTTATATATTCCAGCATATAAATTCATTGTTAAATTTAAATACTGTGTATAATAGATCATTTGAAGAATAACATAACCAAGATATTTAAGACTCAGAAAAAGTTGGCTTTGCCATGGGATAGGGGGCTGCGAGAGGTCTAATAGTCCATGTAACATGAGCTGAATACTTGAGGGATTAACTATATTCTAAAACTGAAGAAAGAAAATGCAAGATTGGTGGGCTTATATCCTACTTCTTATATTCTGTTAACATCAACAAGTATCAAAACTCATGCCATGGCAAGCACTTTGTTAATCAGAAATAAAAAAACAGAAGTTCAAACCTACTGAAGGTCCTGGCTTTCCTCTCATCCCTGGTAGTCCTGGCAAACCAACAGCACCCTAAAAAGAGAGAACAGTAGAGGGAGGAGAAAACTATTATTACCACAAAAGGCAGAGATACCTCTAGTTACAAACTATTAAAAAAAATCATGGAATATTCTTTAAAAATAGTCTCAGGGCCTGTAGGTGGCATGGTGGTTAAGGTACTGGACACCCAGACGGCCAATCATGGTTCAAGTCCTGGACCACACAACTTGCTTTCTCATTTTCCTTCTCTTTTTGTCTCCCTCCGGTCAAATAAAAAAATTATAATTATAAAATTAAATAAAATAATTTTTAAGAAATATTGTCTCAAACAAAAATTTAGTACCACATTGATACTATATCCTAAAAAAATGATTAAAATAATAAGCATTCATTTATTTCATATAGATACTCCTTCATATCTGCATAAAATTAATGGCATAAAGGTTACCTTGTCTCCTGGATACCCTGGTTCTCCTGCCTCTCCTGCAATGCCTTGTTCACCCTAGAGAACACAATATCATAAAAAACACACTTATGCATCATAAACATGACAGTATTATAAGAAAGAAAACATTAGTTATAGAGGAATAATTTTCCTATTTTTCCTTTTTCTGAGAAAAATATAACTGATAGTACAAATTAGGTTCCATAAATAAAACAGTATTTTATAAATTATGTTGACTTGAAAGAAAGGAAAAGACAAATGTGATAAGAAATATCTCTATGATAATGTTAATATTTAAATCACCTTATCACCTTTGTTTCCAGGTAGCCCCTTATTCCCTGGAAGGCCCTGAAAACAAAAACAAAAACAAAAGCAAAGTGATATTTTGTGATGTCATAGAAAAATTAAAGAGAAATAGGTATTATGAAAATAAAACTGTACCATTGGGCCAGGAACTCCAGAAGGTCCACTTGGTCCCACAGGGCCCACATTACCCTGAAAAGCAGGAAGGAAGAAAGACATCATTAAACATTCACGAGGATTAAGAAGAGAATATGGTGAAATTAATGAATTAATGAACCCAGAATAATTCATCGCACTGAGTTCCAACCCATGCCCTGCTCTTCAATGGCCTCTTCTCATTTAAAAATTAAATAAATTTTTGAAACTTTAGCTATGCCCATCCTATTTTCTGAAGCTTTCTTATACTGAACTAACCACAAGAGCCTTCCATTCTTTGAACTCTGATTTTACTTAATGTCCACGACATTGATCTTGTAATATTTCTCCAACTAGGTAACATTTTGAAGAAATATTATAGTGCCATGCTCCTGGGAAATATCCAATAAATATTTCATTTAATTTTCTTAGATTTTTATTTCATCTGTTTATTCAGCAAATATTTATTGAGCAGTTACTATGTGCCAAACTTTCCAATGCTTTGATTTATGATTTGAAATTTGCAGAATGAAAAAACAGTTTCAGAAATAAACTTAGTAGTGAACTAAAGGCTTTTCTCTCTTGGGATTAACTCCTTAATTTATAATTTAATACTTTTTGAACATAATATGTATCAAACACCATGGCAGTGTTGAAGAAACAAAGATGAAAAAGATGTGATTCTGAATTTAATATTCTAATTCCTCAAAAACAGAACTACCATCACTTACAATCAAGAGACTTTAAAAAAAACAAACCCAAATAAATAAAATAAAATAAAATTTGGAATTAATATTAAAGATATTAACCCAAAAAGTAAAAATTTTAAATGGCTATTTCTAGAGCTCTACCTCCCCAAATGACATTTTCAGTAATCTATATTTATACAATACAAATTTCAGAATGGAAAATATGACATCTTTATTGTTGGGTAAGTCTTAAATATGTAAACTATAAGATAACTTCTGATATGTTTAATCCTGAAATACATGGGGTTATAGTGGCAAAGGGTAATACTTTCCAACTGAATAGATATGCAATATTAATATATCATTCCTTGTCATTTCGAATAGTTAACAGTTATTCTTATGATTATAGTGGTTAGCTTGTTCAAGGTCATGGCTTTAAAACTTATAGGTTCATAAAGTTCAATAAACATCTCTGGAAATAATGCAGAAATAATTCATGTAAATATGGAAAGAATATCTCACAAATAAACAAAATTCCTATGTGTCCTGTTGTTCTTTCCATAGACAATATAATATTCTTAACTTTTTGTTTAAAAAAATTAAATATATTAAAAAATATATTTACTATGCTTAATCTCTCATTTTCAGATTATTGTACTTTTTATGCCCAAAATCCTATGTTGCTTTTTAGTGACTCTAAAAGAAAAACAACAGAATAGCAAGTACTAAGAGATATTAAAAATATATAGGTTATAAATGACTTAGTAAAATAGAGAAGTATAGAGTGAAAATAAATGGTATGATATAACAACTTCCAAGAAACACCAATCATTTTATGGCATGACACAATCTGTGTAGAAAAGCCTAGTCGTAAAAAGCTATAGCCTTCTGAAAGCAATCTACGATAACCTAAGAGCAGTCTTCAGTTTCACACCAGTAATCTGAAGGTTTGTCAGCATTCCCTATCCCTATCCCGTGTAACAGAAATGATACTTTTATGCATGGGAGTTTAATTTAAGGTGTCTGGGATATAGCACCAGGGCAGAAGGGCCTCCCTCCTTCCCCACAGCTCTAATTAATAAAGAATTTTTGAGTTAATGTAAGTCAAAGAAATAGAGCCACAAAAAGTACACTCTTCATATTAAAAACAGCAGCCTCTGTCTAATTAACAAAAGTTCATTATGAGTATATTGTGGAAAAAAACTGTGAGTTCCACTTTGGGGTTTCCAATCATATCCACTATATTTACAGGTGACAATCACTGTCACGAGTGAAATGAAGAAAGCAAACAGCAGTAACAACCAACTACCTAGAAAAAATAATTCAGATAAAGCAGTAGCATCTCTTGTCAGAAACTACACCTGCTTGAAAGAAATACCCAAGAGAGAAAGCAGAGAATGCAGCTCTGGACACAGAGACAAACTGTTCTCTATGATATACAAAGATTTTTCATAATCTTTGTCAATTACTTTCAGAATCTCACTTCCCTCTATTCTGCTACAATGCCGCCACTTTTCTATTCATTTCCCCCATCTTCCGTGCATTTCAATACAGCATTCTGTATTCACTTCAATACAGCCTAAAATGCCCTTTTTCCTTTTCCTCTTCATCCCACTTAATACTCAATCTTTAAGACACAGCTTTTAAAAAAATCTCCTTTGTGAAGCCTAATCTGACTCTGACATGACGTAAATTGCTCCTTTCACAGTGGCTTTTACAGCAGTAATCACAATGTATGACATTGCTTATTTTTCTTTGATGCTATCAGATTGTTGTTGCCAAAAACGTTAGGGTAGCACTTCAGGAGCTCCTTAGTAAAGGACCTAACAAATTAGTTTCAAAGCACAGAGCATGAGTAATTTACACTAGAAATATCAAGGGTGAAAATGCGCCAGCTGCAGGTGAAGATACATGAACAGGCACAACCAACTGTACATTTGGAAAATTAAAAACTTTATTAAACCATAAAGAAAAAAAGACAGGAAGAAAAGAAAAAAAGATGCAGATGAGAACCAAACCAGGCTTGATGTCCTGGGCCATATTAAGAATATGGGTCTTGGGGCCAGCAGATGGCATAGCAGTGGTGCTGCTGGATTCCCACATGGCCAACCGTGGTTTGAGTCCTGAATCCAGTGGCTTGAAAATCATCCTCGGTACATGCGTTTGCATGCCCAAGATCCCAGGAGGAGAATGGAGGAGAAGGGATTATGGTGTGGTCATCCCCCATTGTCTCTTTCTCCCTGGAGAACACACATGCCCTAAGGCAAAAATTATTTTTTTTATTATTTTAATTTTATTTATTCATTCATTTATTTTAATTTGACCACAGAGAGACAGAGAGTGAGAGGAGAAAGTGAGAAAGCAAGCCACCAGGTCCAGGACTCGAACTGTGGTCAGCCATGTGGGAGTGTCCAGCGCCTTAACCACCATGCC